AGGACACATACTGTAAATGACAAGTAAAGCTACTTATAATCTGATGGCTATAAATAAGGATTTAAAGTGTGCTAAAAGTACTAGAAAAGTGGCAGAGCACACCACCATTTTCACCCAAGTTCAAGCCTTTTGCAAATGCAAGTGATCTCCTGACATCTCTGCTAAATGGGAAGTTTCATTTAATGATAAGATACAGAAAATATAAGCTCAGTCATGCGTGCAGTATATATGCTAACTTTTAACATATACGTAGGAATAGATGCAAAGTCTAAAGTGAGAAGACTCTGCTTTGTACAGTGAGGAAAGACAACTCAATCAGACCCTATCTGTAATGCATCTTAACACCTCAATATTATTTGGAACTATTCAAAGCTCAGATGAACCCTTGAGGTATGCTTCTAACCACCTGCCAACATTCTTTCTTCAAAGCATTTGTGAGCTTATGATTTTAATAACAGCCAAGGCAATAATACATTAAAGATGCAAGGCTTGAGAGCTGCAGAATAGAGATAATATGCTATTGCTGCCTCAAACTGACACATCTCATTCATTCTGAATTACAGATAATGAGGCTTTGTGCCTGTCATAGCAAATTTCAGTTATAATATGCATCATTCATGCACTGTCTTTGTTTTTGTAAGTAAAGATATAATACGCAAATCACAGGTAATGACTGGGCAGCAAACGAGCAAGGGTCCTTTCAGGGACAACTTACTGTACTGTATATTAGTCATGTTTTGAAAGTATGAAACAAACCAGCCAATAATATTTTTACAGTAATCAGGAAGGAAAGCAGCACCTGCAAGGTCTGCAAAAAAGACAGTTTACTGGAAACAATTACACAAAACATGATATTTTGTAAAAACGGGAAGCATAATGTGTCTGGGAATCAGTATTTTCTGGTATGTATGTATTGAAGAAATGTATTATTGGTAAGCACCATACTGAATGTTGAATTAGAAGCATTCTATGAAGCAATGCATTAGCAAACATTTTTGCATAAATAAAATTAACATTTCATTTTTGTTGTGAAGCCCTAAATGCTATATTTATGCAAATTTAAAGACACACTTCTATTTTTTTTAGAGACCCCCTCCTCTTTATTTTATGCTGCATCTTATATCTTTAATTTCCAAATGACCTTGAATTAAACATTACTGAAATAAATAAATCTGCCATGTTACACGCAGCTACATCAGGGGAAAAAAATAAGAAAATTAAGAAAACGAATCTGGAAAAAAATGAAAATACTTTACTTAATCATCATTTTTGCTATGCATAATTGGGGAAGCTTAAGTAGGGCTCAAGGGCATACTAACAACGTTGAGAAGAATCTTTACAGGTTAAAGAAATCTAGGGCATAATCAGCTTGAGCTTTGGCTGTTAGACGTTTGAAGATGCTTATGAGATGCATGGGTGCAGCGATAGTTATTCAGTGTTGTACTGATGTATAGGACCTCCGAGATTAATAGAGTCCAAAGAGGAACACGGTGACACAAGCACTGGCAATTAATTCACCTGTAGCACCTTACTGAACAATGCCCTGCAAAAGCAAAAACAGCCATCCACACACTTCAAGAGATCCAAAAAGCAGCCACAGCTAAGCCGTAAAGCAGTCCTCTTGAGGACGAGTTATTAGAACCCTTGGCACTGTGCTATTCGAACTCCTGGGGAAGTGCACATAATTCAGATAAAGAGTCATTTTGAATGGAGGCCTGCAGCTGTAGAAGATGAGCTTGTAAAAGAAGAGCCACTCCACAGCTGCCTGCCTTTTACCTCTCAGGCAAATGCTACTTAAGATTCCATTTGCTGCAGAACACAAAGAGGTCAATGATAATTATACTGACAGCATTAAGAGAGCAGTTCATAAGCCACTATCACACAATATAACCTCTATTACTTTTGAAAATCTATCCAGTCCCATCAATGCGCATACAAAAGGCAGAAGGCTTCATTAAAAAAATGCAAGTGGGTCATCATTTGATTAGTGTGCACAATTAATATGCAGTATTGTGTCACTTTGTACTAATCACCAAACCCTGCCAGCATTATGACTGCTTTAAACCTCAAGTGAGGTTCTCAAAAGATGACGAAAAGCAGAGAAAAAGAAAGGACTCACTTTATATCTTTAAACAGGACTTTAATCAATATAGCCTTAAAAGTAAGAAGGAATATTTTCTCTTCAATTCTCTTTTTTGTTCTTAAAACATGACAGTCCTTGTTACTGCAATGACTGATTCTCTGTAGCAACGCTATCCTCCCTGTGGTGAACGGTACTGTGCAGTCAGCTCCATTTGAGAACTGACTAGAGCCGGCAATAATTACAGAAGTGCTATTTTAGAGTTTCCTCTGATGGAACACCTTCTTGTGCCTTTTTGCTTTTGTAAAGCTGTGCACCTTCTGAGATTCTTTTTACTGTTCTTAGAAGTAGTTCAATAGATATGCTCAAAAAAACTTTTGCTCCTAGACTAAAATGAACCATGATAGTAACATTTTTCCTATATGTGTAAAAACCACTGTAGATTTGACAAATTTATTAATTATAGTCTTTAATATAGGATAGTCCTCAAACTGCTGACAAAATACAATGTAGTAACATTGGCTACTCAGTCCCACAACATAATTTTCACCAAGCGCTATAAATTGAAGCTGACGTTATAACTTCTGTGGATGTACTGAAGGCTCCGAATATAAATAGTTGACTTTGGGGTTTATAAAAGGGAGCTTGATATTACCATACTAATAGTTTATTCCTGTGTAAACCTCTGGACTGTTAATGTACTAATGATGGCAATTAAAGGTAAAGGCTGACTATTTTATTGCAGCATTATAAAAAAAATAGCAATATGCAATTTGAGACTCTATATAATGAGGTAATGACTGAGCAGGGGATCCGACAGATATAAGTCTGAACAATTTCAGTCTAAATATTCAATTTCAAGATGTACTGTAATGCGGATACCAACGTTTCAAGTAAAGCATCGTGCCTAGATGCGTGTTCTCATTACTGGTGCTCTTGGTTCCAGTCAGTATCTTTTGTTGCAGATAATCCTGAGGGTAGAGAAATTTAAGGCGGACTTCAGTGCTTAACCTCTGCACTTTTTCACTGCCACAATTCTCACGGTGTGCTCTGAACTACGCATTATCTCCACACTCCGGGGTTAACAGCAGGCTCCTGGCTCAGGGCTGAGTCACTGCTCCGCTCTGTCTTTTCTGCCAGTAATTTCACACTGCGGAGAGTAACTTTCCTCTCCTGAATACAATCAAGATCCAGCAGCATGTCAGATTCCCTTTGCCTGTGCAAATGAACTATTATCTCAGCATCTATCGTGGTACAGGCAAGAGTATCCACATAATTTATACTACCCAATGCAAAAGCAAGAACCCACAGAGGTTTATTTCTGTCAAGACCTTGAATTACAATCAAGAGGATTAAATTGAACAGAAACAGCAGCTCATTTTCTAATGGCCATGTTTGTCCTCGCCTTCAACACTTAATGCAGGATTGCTCTTGCATCCACACACATCTCTGTGACCCGGAGACTTCTTAATGGACCAATGGTATGTAATAAAGGGGGTATGCAGTAGACATGATACTTCAGTGATTCACAATAGAGACAGGGAGAAACTGCCTGCTGACACCTCAGAGAACCCTGTAAAATGCATCAGATCATCAGAATATTCAGTAAAACAATGATTATGTCCATGAACAAACATCCACTGCCTTTCTATCAAGTGAAGTCTCCTCTCTTGTGCAGTTTTATGAGATTCATTAGCTTTCCTGGACTTAAAGAAAGCATTACCAGAAACAATAGGGAGATAATTTAATGCACAGTATGCTTCCACATCTGTGAAACTACCTACTCCAGTTAAGATTTTTCATTGCGAGGTAATAAAAATGCATTCGTTTCCCTGGTAAAATGTAGTGGTGAGGATGATTTAGGTGTTCTATGTGTTATCAGAGCTGCACTGCCAACATTTAAAATCAGCGAGTCGAGATGACTTCGAGGCCGTTCATGACAGGTCAGCTGTTGCTTAAGAAAAACAGTAGCATTTCTGACATTTGCTACACAGTATTTCTTTCAGTGCATTAAGTGATTTTAATGGTTTCTTTAACATATAATATGTATAGTATGATAGAACAATCTGTGAATGTTGTCTTGCTTGGTTGAACTCCAGTCACAGTTATTTGAAACACCGTGGTTTTAATTCATGAAACAAAGAACAGGTCCACTATAATCATTCTAAAGCTTTTCTTTGACTGAACCTAGTTTTATAACATGTACAGTATGAGAATTACATATATTACATTACATAAATTACAATATTTCGTTCAACTGCATTTAGCTGGCAACACTCCACAAGCCAGAACTGACTCCACATGACTGGGCTTACTGTGAGGCAGCAGTGTTAACTGCCATGCAATCATGCCACCAATAATATTTATAATAAAAAGAAAAAAATAAAGGTGTATTACAATGGATCTGAGAAATCCTTTTCAGAATTGGCAACAGGTTATAAATCTCAGCAGAAAGCCAAGATGAAAGCTTAAAAGATGAAAGGAAAAAATTATTAAGAACTGAATCTGGACTTCTAAAAGACCTGTTTGAAAAACACCTGTCAGTAGATGTTAGTAAAAGGTGTGGTTTTCTTTGAGCTGAAAGATGATAGGAGACGAACATACTGTATAGAGAATGAGATCAAATTTTCTTTCACTTCATTCTGGGCACAATCATTTAACATTAAAAACATTAGACTTGCACTTACCTATTCTTTAAAATCAGTCAAAAACATTCATTGCAGTAGTTGAAAACCCAAAGGTTTTTTAAATTCTCTGACACTTTAAAAATTGTAACCCGCATTTCTACTCAATACTCAAATTGTGTATTCAGTTCCTGTACAATGCATATTACTTAAAGTGACACTTTATAACTTAAAGTGACATTACATTCACAACAAATAGAAAATAGAGAAAAAATATTAATAATTCAGTGCCTTACCTCTGGATATTTCAATTTGAGTGTTTTGTGCATTTCGCGAAAACGACTGTATCTTCTAAACACAGTCCACGTTTCTTCCAAGGCTGTGATCTACAGTATTAATAAATAAAAGGTTTGACTACAGCAAAACAATGGATATAAATGTAAAAGATTTGCATACATTACCTGTATAAGACTATTTTGGTAGAGTATTTTTGAAACTGTCTATGCAGTAAAATATGTAAAAATGTCTGGATAGGCAAGTACACGAAAGAAGACTACATTTGTAATTGATCAAAGAAGAGCAGACCAGAGAATGAATAACATATGATATATTGACCTCTAAGTTGAAAACGGAACAAGGACAGCTGCACAAGTTTTACTGTAGACCTACTTTAGGAGAAGCTCAGGAAACTGGGAGTAAAGAAACCAGAAACAATATCTGGGCCTTGACAATGTAGTAAGGAGCTCCTAATGTAAAGTTAACAATCTAAAAAAGAAAACACTCAGCTTTGCAGATTGCCAATTCTGCTGTTTAAAGGGATGAATACTTCATTGTTTAAAGGAATATTTAAGAAGGTTACATTTTTACTCCATGCTGTACTTACAGAACAGTATATAACGAAGATTCAAGATACAAAGGTTTGTTGAATGCAACCCAGTTATATTCCCCACTCTATAAAGAGGCTGTGTAGCCCTGGTCACTTTCAGGTCCACAAAGACAAGGTTTTTTATGCCTCGGAAACTAAATACTTCAATTCAATTAAAAAAACACAACTAACAAGCTAAAAAACAAGCTTTTTGGGTAAAAAAAGCTTTAACTATATGACGTGCTGACTCAATCCGAGGTATAAAAAACATTTTTAAAACCACCTCTCTCTTTGATGGCTTAGTGCTATATAAGCTATTAGTGCTGATTGGAAAGTGCAGAGTGCCAGCACTGCAAAACAAAAAAGAGCTAAATTTAAGAAGTAAAGGGGTTATTTGTTCATTATATACAGACAGGGAGCAAAATAATGTTGGAATTCTTTAATTCGTTAAGCAATTTACTAAAATTGAGGACACTGAATAATACAAAACAAACATGAATCTGCAGCCTTTTCAAAATATGTCCCACAAGTCAGTTTTAAAGCATCTAATATAAGATGTTACGAAAATCTGAATCAAGAAAATATTTTAGAGGTCTTTAGTTTAAACCATTAAACTTCACTAGGAATAGCAAAGGGTAACATCTTTGGGTGACTAATAGGCAGCTGGTTGAATGTGCCATACAAAATCACACACACATTCTAATTAGATCCTTTATGAAGTCTGCAGCTCAATTTGACATTTAGAAAAAAAATAAAATGTTTTTCTACATCTCTCTTATGCATGCTTTTTTATTATACTCAGATGTGTATTCCAAAAAAGATTCATAACTCATAAACCTTTTCTAAACATTCATATGATGAAAGGGTAATTCATGAGCTGTGATGAATTTAATCTCTATAATTGTCTTATCACATGGACTGCAGAGATCCGAGAACCTTTCTCTTCATCTAGAAATCAGAAAAGTAAGTTGTGGAAATATTTATATTAGCCCAAGCAATATAACAGAATTACACAGAAAAGTAAACTGATGCAATAAAAAACAACAAATGCTTGTAACACTGAAATATATTTAAAACATCATTCTAAAATATGATTTTGGACTGTAATAAAGATTTTTTAAGCATTAGTATTCAAAAGATCCACATGACAGGATTTGTCATTGATGTTTTAAGTACTAATTAAATATCTTAAAGCCGAAGAAGTATATTGGCAAGAAGGAAACTCTTCGTACAATCTGGATGGTCTTTGGTATGCTAAAACTCATTTCTCAAAAGGCAATATATGTGACTGCATTCACATGCTGTTCTGTAACCCATAGTCTTTTGATAAGTGAAACCTGATTGCACAATTCAACTAGTAATTTTCTGTACTGAATAGCACTACTCATCTAAGATGAGAAATTTGTTTGAAGACCTGCCTGGGTACTTCAGTGCTGAATATGTGGGATTTATTTCCCAGAGATGTGCAAATTATTCTGTGAAAAGATAATTTTCACTTTCACTTGCACATTTTGCATATTAAGAAAGCAATAACATGTTTCCATCAACAGTACATCTAGGATGGCCATTTATGAACGAATGCAGAAATAAGAAGAATAGGAATCAGAGCTCACCTTTACTTCAAATTCGTAGTGCTCATCTTTCCCTTGTCCACGCATAACATAGCGTGGAATACTAATTTTAACTGGGTCCTTCAGGCTGTATGGGCTGGGTCCCAGAGGACGAGAAATAAGCCACTGCTAAAAGCAAACGCCACAAAGAGAAAGCAGAAGGTAAACAGGATCAGTTATAGTATAATACAATACTAAATGCTGGCAGTTTCAACATACACAAAACTGATACCCATGGACAGAGACGTTGTCCACTCAAACCCAAAAACTATGTTTCAATACGTCAAATTACAATCAACCTTCCATATAAAAACACTCATCCTTCATGTATTTCACAAAAACATTATCTCTTATCAACTTCACTCTCTCGTCCTCGTCCCTCTAAAGAGACATGCTTGAAACCACGTTAATGAGGACTAGTTGCAAGCGATCTTGTTCCACTGCAGGAAAAGGCTAGGTTCCCAGTGAAGCATGCACACATCTCATGCCAGCGCAATCCAAATTAGGATATCAATCATGGAAACCCTGTGTACAGCATCAATTTCGCAGGAGTGCAAAAATACACACTTGGAATGCTCTGATTCTTTACAAGAACTTATTTTGAAACACTTAACAACAGGAGTTAAGAGTATTCCCAAGCGATCCATATAATGCATGAGAATCCATCCACAGATTTCTGTAGAACTTTGAATCTGACAGTTGAACCGAAAAGTACTTATTCAGCTGTCACGAAAAACCATGTACACAGGAAAAATATGTTTTAAATGGTGCACTATAATGAAGATTATTTGCACATACAGAGACCTTTTCTTCAAAAAGACTAATTGTCCTTTGATCTAGTTTCCTGTGCCATTACCTACCTGTAAGCTTGAACAATGTAGATACTGTAGGTAGGCTGTGTTGAGATTCTTTGAATGAAAGCTTTAACTACAAAAACACTATTTTAAGCAACTCAGACAGCAAATGATACAACCCGAGGAAGCTTTACAAATGAATAGAGGAAGAGCAGAAATGTTCAGATAAATAGGATCTTTATTTAAATATCTTAAGGCATTTGGAATAACCTGTACAGTTTTATAGGGGCACATCATTTACATAAATGTTTATCCACTACAATAAAAATGAACTCCATCGCCACACATTACTTTATTTAGAAATGTTCTTCTGCTTTGTCATAAATTTATGAACAACAATTTTGCAGTAATAATACTGGGTGTTATAATAACTATATTAAGCAGAAAAATTAATTATGCTTTGAAGCATTGTTTCATGATAGGTGCATCATTGACGCTGACATCCAACTGGTGGGCGAGTCAAGGTTTTAATTTAATTCTATTTAGTTTAAAAATCAATAAGGTACAGGAAACCAAAAAAAAACAGCACACTTGCATGGCATACAGTTCCTACAATAAAATGTATTTTAATATTTAAAAAATAGATTACAAAACATCTTCAAATGACAGTGTCTTTACATGCTTTCAAATCAACACTAAATTAAATTATTTCTATATGCACCCACATAAAGCTGCCTTCTGGTAATAAGTGCAATCAAAAAAGAGTCTGTTCTCACAAAGTGAAACATTAAAAATAAACTAAAAAACAATAAAATAAATGAGTGATCTATTACAAGTAATTAGCCTTCCAGCATCTATGCTTCATTTACACTTTTCTTCTTAAAAAATGCAAAAACCACAACTAATTCAGTAAGCCCTACATTTCAAAAAACTGCGATATAATAGAAAAAAATTATTCACAGCTGCTGCAGGTTAAATTGAACGTACTATGTGGTGCTCATTTTGTTGAAAGATTAAGTGCACTATACAGTATGCAATTTATGTAATGGAGTCACATGATAAAACTCACCATTTAATATTTCAATATTCTACAAATGTTGGCATTTTATGTTCTGATGATTAGGTTTCCTTTACTTTTACATACAGGCTAGACACTTTCTTCTAATAATATAATAATAAATGCATAGACTTCCAATTTCTACAATCCAAAAAGAAGACAAATTGAGTGGTGTGTGTGCATTTAGTTTTGTAGGAAAGCTGTCGTGAAGTAGAAAATGAAGTAGTGTAAAGGATACTATACCGTAGATTATCTATAAGTGAATGCAAAGCTGATAACCCTGTCATTAGTAAATGATCAACCGTGGGTCTAGTTGTGCATGTATACAGTAGGTACAGGCCTATGTAGGAGCAGAACACTGATGTTCATGTAATGGAACTTTCAAAATATAATCCATATAAGTTTTTAAATGAGTAAAATCATGGATTCTTCTCTGTATATTACTCATATACTTAAATATCTCCTATTATCAAGTACATAGTAGCAGTAACAAAGAATCAAGTGAATCTACTGTATTTTTAATAATCTTTGGGAATAAAAACTTGGATTTCTGTGCTTCCTTATAAATTTCAAGAAATAAATTGCTCAAATCTCTAATTGGCTTTGAAATTCCTCTTAAACATTAAGCCTATGCATTCTTCTCATTTGGTATTGATCATCATTGCACTAAACATGTCATCAAACAGCTGACAAACTATTGATCAGAAAACCTGCTTCTTCTGAAGTACCAAAAGTTAATTTCCACACTTCAGCTGGACGGGACAAATTACCACACGAGTGAGAGGGGACAAGTACGGATGAGTCTTCATGATCTTTTTGCTCTGAGTGACTACCCTCGCTATTGGCAAAAACAAGTTCAAGTTTTGTTGAACTCTCCTTGTCTGCAACAAGCACACACCGGAGGTCTGAACGGCACATAAGCAAAATCTGATCAAACTGGGCTCTTTTTGGCAGAATTACAATTGACCCTGGAATGGGATAAAAAACGCTGTCTTCTTGCAAAAGTCCAATGTGTGTGTTAGTGAGAACAAACTGTGTTAATGGTGTATGATGTGCATGTGACTTCACCTCAGCTATCACAGTGGTGTACAAGAGTATATTAACATTTCCCAGTGAGGGTTTGTTTTTCAACATATTTCCATGAAGCACATAAAGTAGGTCAGCAAGAACCTTTTTGAATTTTGAGCTGACTCGAAATCCACCAGTTAGAGTGAGGTCAGTGATTTCATACTCCCAGTTAATCGAGAGCTGCATGAGATCGCCCCAAAGAAGTGGGTGACTTTTATAGTTAGCATCATCTGCTTTGCGAAGCAAAACTCTCAATAATGCCTGACAAACCTCTTGGGAAAGATGCTTGTTGTAAGTACAGATTGTCAATATAGTATCTTCTGAATGTCCCAAAACTCTAAGATTTTGTCCAGCAAAACCTATGTGAACTTCCTTAATGAGCTCAAGAGGGAGCCGATGGAATATTTTTAAAATGTTGCTGTTATTATTCTCCAAGTTAGTGTTTGAGGTTAATGCAAACATGACAGAATCATACAAAAGCACTAAACCAGGCTGTGGAACAGGTTGCTTACAATTAGCCACTGCAAGCCAGTATATACCACGGAGTTGTTTATGAGTCCCAGCAGGATGTGGTAAGACACAGTCTAGACAGGCTAACAAGTTTTGCAAAGGGAGAGTTTGAAGCTTACAAAGATCTCTGGGATACTGTACTAGCCTTTGGCAGAGCACTGAAAGATTTTCACATTTAATTGCCATCACAGAAGTCACTGGTGTTCCAAGATAACCTGTGACATTCTCTGATGGTGTTATATTACTAGGTTCACTCATATTATAGAGATGAATTTTGGGAGAGTCTAAGATACACGCAGGTTTTGGACTGATATCAGGTTTTAAAGTCACTTCAAGATGTACCTTATGTACAAACGGCAAATCTTTTATGACTGAATACATTTGTCCATACCAGCTGCTCCTGCACTGAAAGTCTCCCTTCCTAACCTGCCTAACAACTTCCTGAGTACTTTGCAGACAACGGCTAGCATCTTTATAAATACAAGACAGTTTGCTAATGAAATACCCAAGGCCAGAGTTCTGCTCAGTTTCCAGTTCCTCAGAAACAATGTCTGTCTTTGAAAACTTCTGTTCTAACCCCATCTCATTTTCGTAAGAGACCTGGGAGATCACAGAGTGACCAAATTGGTCTTCTTTGGGGACTTCAGTTGATGCGGTGTACTCCTGTACAGGGACTTCAGATTGTATATTGGCCCCGGGGAGAAGGGGTCTATTAGTCTGTTCTTGCTCAGGCTCTGTATTAGCAAGATGTGGGTTGGTCAAATAGTCTAACAAGGTCCCTCCAGGTTCAGACTCTGAGCAACGGTGCCTTAAGACAGCCAGGAGATCAGTGCTCTTGTTAGTTTGTCTGCTCTCCGTGTGACACAGATTGTTGCTATTTCCATCACTCCCTGCAAAGATGGATGCATATTTCCATTGCTGAACTCCAATTTCTCTCCAATCATAGTTATCCTGATGTAGCTTCAGCTCTGCTTGCAATTCCACTGGCATTTTATCAGGAGTTGATTTATGAGGTAGCAAATCCCACTCTTCTGCAGTCTGTTTTGTCGCGGTTTTCTTTTCCCTGGCAATGTGACCCTTTTCCATGTCATTACCATACCCCCAATCATATGGCCAGTGTAGCTCATTAAGACAACATATCCCCTTCTGCTCTTCAGATCTTGGTCTTTTTTCACAGGCCCTTAGAAAAGCAGCATCCATTCCAAGGAGAGATGGGATGCTATGCCTTGGTGTGGTAGTTGTCTGTGTAAAAAGAGGGTTCTTTGGCTTATGTTCAATTAGCTGGTTTAATGCTTGAGATGTTAATCTATTTTTATTGCTCTTGTATCTATGTTTATAATAAGAATTTTAAAAGTAGAGAAATGAAACAGGAAGATTCAGAAAACAGTATTTTGTTACAGATGAGGGTGAAGTTTGATTTTTAGATCCCATGTACAATTACTAATGTATCCATTTTTCTTGGCACCAACTGCTTTCCTGACTGTCAAATATAAGCTCTCACTAATGGCACTGATTGCAAAGCCCAAATTCATCTGCCTCTTATCCTTTAATTATTAGTCACAGACAGGTTTGTCCATTCTTTTATCACATCATACAGAGAAAAACCTTCTGCTATCACTGTTAATATCACACTCATTGAAATCTGCAGTTTTCAGTCTGATTGGAATATTTTAATGAACCACAATTGTCAATTTTCTTTTTTCAGCAAAAGATGTACAAACTTCTGTTCCGAGCTGCTGTTGAGCATGATGCATAAATCAATCTGATTTAATCTACCAATCCCTGCCTACTGGTAATTCAGCTCTCTTCCTGCTGTAATGATAGGTTGGCAAATTAAAGTTAATAACTGTCCACATTAATAGATGGATTACACAAAAGAGCTATGATTTTGTCTTCAAAATAGGTACTGAATGCATATTGCTTCCTCCCTTACAATGGCTCTTCAGATACTACTATATACAAGACATACGTGCTCAGATGTAACTGCATTTCAACCAAACCAACCAAGAGTCAGTAATATTTAGCATTTAAAGCCATGGACAGAAAAATGCATTTAATTACCTGTCTCCTCTTTATTTTTTATAAAGTTCATCTACATCCACTGTAGTGGAGATAAAGAAAAAATTGTCTAGTATGTAGAGAATTTGTCCTCACACAGAACTTAAAAATATTAAGCTCCTGAAGCATAAGTTCAATTAATGAGAAAGTGCTACATGGCCTAGAAAAATTGGATACTACCATGGATTAAGAGTCCACCACCTTTCTGATCAAAACATGCACAAAACATGAGGAAGGATTGTGTTTAAATTTGACTTGATTTTGTGCTTTTAACTCATTTTGCAGTATTCTTCTGCATATTATTCCCAATTTATTTAAGCACTGCCATACACTTAACTTGAAAGTCATCACTGCTTTGCCCCGCACTGTTAGGTCATGAAATAACATGCTCCTTACCTCATATTTTTGTTTACGTGGGTCAACACCATTATGAGATTTTTCATCTTCCTGCAAAGGGAATTTTTTATGATTACTTCTAGCATTGTAATTGCTTAATAACACACTTTTAAGGCAATAACACATTGCGAGATTGTCGTTTAGGAAGGTGTCCTGAGGAACCAGGACAAATGGAGAACACTTAAAACAGCCAGTTGACTGGCAAAAGATGAATATGAAGCAGATTAAGACCTGGCAGTGCTGGACAACATTTTAGAATTTGTACTAAGCTCATCATTAGCAATTACACAATTACAAAACATTTGGATTCAAATACATGTCAATACCACTATATGGAATTACAACAAGGTACAACAAAGGATTACTAGTGGGGTTTTTTGGCATCCACATTACCAAAACTATCACATAGCCCTTTTAAAAGTACTGCTTTGAGAGATATCCCTTTATACTATTACACTTTAAAATGTAAACTACTTTTTTATGTAACCTTTTATGTATCAGGTTTGATATATTCAATATTGTCATGAAATACTTTAGCATGGCTTAATTCAATAGTGGCATTTAAAGCTGGCTTGAATGAAAAAACGTTTAAGGTCTTATTTAGCAAAGACAGCCTAGCAGTACAGTGGTTTAAAAAGCCAAACACTTTTTACATGACTGACATTCTGTATTATCTGCATCCAATGGTACTGTATGCTTGATTAAAGTAGCAAAGAACATTTTTTTGCATTACAATGCACTACTCACAAAACCCTTTCAATAGGCAGCACATTTTCAAAATGTGTTACACAGTGCACAATCATGTTCCCCTAGTAAATGGACACTTGCTTACCTCATCTGTCAGTTTAAGAGAGCTTCCATCATTACTAGACTGTTCTTCTTCCTGCAGAAGGGGAAAACAATTTAATTTATAGACATTTAAAACATGGGAGAAAGAGTTTAATTTACATACTGTATGTTGAACATTGGTCTTGATTTTTTTGGTTTTTCATATATGACTGTTAATTATGGGTATAATAAAAAATGACTTGCATATTTGTCAACTGCTGTTGTGATTACTGAACCTTATAAAGTGTCACTGTCTACCAAATAAATTGCTGTCTTGTTTTGGGAGCATCACCCTTCGGGAAATAGTTCTATAGCCTGTTAAAAAGGAGAGACTGAATAATGGTCCCTTGCAAAGACGTGTATCCCAGGCAAACCTCAAACATTTTCATCATTTTTACCTTCTATAGTTCTCCCTGTTGATATAGAGAATGAAACATAGATATACTGTACATTTAGTATTTAGTAACTAAGGCAGCAGCTCCACTGAGGTTGAAGAATATGTAAAACAAGTATACAATCATTACTGCCTGGCAGTTTCCATACATTTCAAAATGATGGTCTTTATTATTAACTTGAGTTGAAAAAAACAAAAGATCTAAATAACTGAATTATTAAACAGGCATACTGTTAGAATAAAAAAAAAATAATATAACACAAATTTAGGAAAAGCAACCTATTAAGGCTCAGCTTCTTCAGAATACCCTCAAATATTGAACCAGCAAAAAAAGTCTATGTCCCTATTCCTCTTTGTCACCAAATCTCTCCCCACCACATCTGTCACAGAAAGAAACAGAAACCTCATTGGGTTCCATGTACACCAGATGGAACAAATGTTTATCCTTTTGGGAACATATTATAGACTATACCTTCAATGTTTCTGTTGACAGCGAAAGCTCAATGTTATTGTCACCATTGGTCTGATTCAATTTCTGTAGCCGCCTTTGCACTTCTTCTTCAATGTATGCATTGATCCTGGTTCGTTGTAAAGGACACACTCATTAAACCAGTGGAAAGGAACAAAGGATATTTCACTCCTTATGACAAAAGGCTTTTAATCTAAATGATTTGCAAAATGGTGCAAACTGGAACAAAGCCTACTGTATATGTTTATATCCAGCTTCTCAGTGCTGTTCATTTTGTATTTAATAGCTATTTTAATTATTAAGCATAGTAAGGGGCTGGAGACTTCTAACTGTTCACGGACAAAAGAAGAATAAACTGAAAATTAATTTATTTTAACCATTTACTAGACTTAATGGACAAATAGCCTGAACATCTGCAAGAGATTAAAGCCATTCAACCAGAATTGAAATTAAATAGGTTTTGCCCATGTGGATTCTGACAATCTTGAATTATTGAAAATTCCATCAGGACAAAGAAAGAGAAATGTAATTTACTTTAGAAAAGCTTGGCAGTTTTGAACTTTTTTGCTAAGCAATCCTTAAAAACATGGAAACAAAAATATGGGAATAAAATGCATTCGACACCTAATTGAATCAATGGCGATCATAGTATTATGTTACAAACATGAGTGTACTATGGTGCGTTTAATCATGAGATCAAAATCTATTATATTACATATACTCTAAGGGGCTATTTGCATGTTATACCATTTTCATAATAATTTCCAATGCTGTATAAATATAGTAGATTTATTTTTAGTCATATCAGAGATCCAAATTGAAACAGATCTAACAAACGGCCTACCTGTCATCCACCACTGGAATCAGGGTTGGCAGGGACTGTTTAGGGCTCACGGGTGAGCTGCTGTGACTTGACTTTTCATCACTTCCTGTGTAGAGACTTCTCAAAGCACCATCATTTTCACAGATCTTTTGTTTGAGTTGCTGAATTTCACGCTCCAGTCTTGTTATCAGGAAAGAGAGAACCATACGTGTTATTCCCAGTTCTAAAACTCATTGCACCTCTGATCTACGCCTTATTAATGGCCTTATGCTGATCATGAGAACAGCATCACTTCTGCATTTTCCCAATAACCTGCCAATTTTACTATTAATCATATTGTATTTTACTTAAGAAAGTGTCATGTGATGGTATTTTTTGTCATTAGCATGTACTGTATTCCCACAGCCTTGCAAGACATGACTATGGACATAAAATACAAAAGGATTAAACACCCTGGTATCTAATATGATGAATGAAATGAGCTGCGTGGCAGTAAGAAAACAGGTGATTCCTATGATCACCAAATCAGCAAAATAGTTAAAAGTTATTCAATACTACAAGATGTGAACATAAACCACCTGCAAACGTGACTGAGAACACAATCAAATTCACGCTTTTTAATTTTAGAAGAGGGATAAATAAAATCCAACATGATTTAAATTGACACGCACATATTTTTCATCATTGCATCTTTGCTAATTTATAACTTTGAGTACCCCTCGTTACCTTAAAGATGCCACTAATGAAATTATGCAGGGGGACTGATTGTACTTGCACATTTATCTCCAGTTTAACAGGAGTTTAATGCAAGGTGAAGTTTGCTATAATGAAACTGCATCCCTCATGGTGGTGCAAACAAAAGTACTGCAAATATATTAAAAACCTGTCTGAGAAGCAGCAAATTAAATTAGAATAGCATGTAAATAACAAAAAAGCAACCCAGTGTGAAGGAACTCATATTGACTTTACCTATGTAAAATCCAATAAAAATGCATTTGCACTGCTTAAATCCAATATCTTATTAACTTGATATCAGAAGCCTTATGGCCCTAAAAAGCAGGATTAGGATAATGACAGTGTATGAATTTAACAGTTCAGCTTCCATGTCTTTGAGTAAAATATTTAAAGGTAAATTAAAACTTTCTTTTTGAAGCTGATCCTATTTTAAGAAACTATTTTTTTCTTTTTAAATTAACAGATTTATCAAGAATAGACCATAACCCTTTTTGTACCAACAGTACACAAAATAATTATAAATGAAAAGAAGCTCTGATTGCACATTGGAGCCTAACTGCAACCTCACCTCTCTCTGTCTTGCTCCAGTGCTTTATGCTCAGCTTCCAGGCTGGCCTGCAGCCCCACTTGTTCTTCACTGTGGTGCAATGAAGCCAGCTTCCGTTTCTGCTCCTCGATCTCCAGCTCAATAGTTGACTGACGTTGCAGAGCTGAGTGCCTGCGCTCCAGCTTCGCAACAGCCTGTTCTAGAGCCTCCCTCTGCTGCTTCTCCTTAGACTCCAAGATCTCTTTCTCTTTCCTGCGCACCTTCTCTTCCTGGCGAGCAACATTGGCAGTGAACTCATATGTCTCCTGAAGTTGCTGCAGCTGGTCAGCGCTGGCACAGTAAAGCGCCAGCTGCTCTGCCTTTTCTTCAATCTCCTTCTCTATCTGGTACAAGGTGTTGTCCAGCCCTGGAAGACCCTTCTCCACAATTTCAGCAGACCTCTGCTTCTCCTCTGTAATGGTGGGAAGGTGATTTTCAGTGAGGCAGTGAAGCTGGCGTTCTTTGTACTGTAACCTTTGCTCAGCTTGCTTAATCCGCTCTTTCTCCTGGGCAACATTGGTTGCATCCAGAGTTCCTTTTTCCTGTGTCTCTCTCAGCACTTTCTGGTGTTCTTCATGCACTCGGAGGAGATGGCCTAGAGCCTTCCGCTCGCTGGAGATATCCTTCTCCAGGTGGTCTTTCTGCTGAAGCAGTCTCTGCTCCAAGAGCTGAAGCTGCTCCAACTGCTTCATCTTGAAGCTCATGTACCTCTGCTTGGCGTTCTTAACATCGTCATGTTCTTCGTCTCCGTCTGGACGAGCCTCCTTTGCCTTGAGGAGAACTCCTCGGATTTCCTCCAAGATCCTTTTCTCCTCCTCCACCCTCTGCACATCATCCCTTTTTAGCAATCTGATCATTTCCTGCTTCTCCCGCAGCTGTTCCTCAAGTCGAAATACCAAGCTGAGCTGCTCTTGCTCCTGCTTCTCCAGTCTCCTCTTCTCTAGCTCCATCTTGATGGACTGCTCATCCCTCTCCCTCTTCAGCTTCTCTAGCTCACGGAAGATCTCCATCTTCTCTGCCTTCTCCTTCTGGTGGATCTCCTGCAGCCTCTCCTGCTCCTTTTGCACACGAATGTGGATCTCCTCTTCTTGTTTCTTCTTCTGCAGCTCCATCTCCTGCTGCTCCCGCAGTCGCTCCTCCTCAAACCGCTCTTTTTCAGCAAGCAGATCCTTCAGCCGGCTCTCAATGTCTTGACTCCTTCGCTTGAGGCTCTCCTCCTGTTTCCTGATGCGCAGTTGTACCTGCTCTGACTCTTTGCGCTGGGATTCCACCTCCTGCTGCATGCGCTCCAGTTCAGCCTTCTCACACTTTTGCTTCTCTTCCATCTCTTTGATCAGTTTCCTTCAAATAAACAACACATTTCCCATAATTATCAATGGCATTAGACCTTTACCTGTTTCTTTCATAATCACAGAACGGTATAATTTTATTTTTATACAACTAGTATAAACCTCTATATTACTAATAACAGAGGTTTCCTATATGTGCTGTGTTATTGGGAAAAAATGGTGATGTAAGTGACCTTGCAAAAGGCTTGACGTTTGATGCATGTACCTCCAGCATATGGATGGCAATAAGAGCAGACCTGGCTTATGTGTCAGTCCAGACAGCTTTAATGTTTCACAAGCAATGGTTGGAAAATAAAAACAACAGAAAGTACAATTCAGTCTGCAACAAGCTACCAAACCAAAGTGACAGAAGTGAGATTTCACTTCTTGTGAAATGTAATCCAATAAGTCTCTGGACATCTGTGAACATCTAGTGGATTCAATTCCATGAAGTGTAGAAGTTATAATCACCACTGTATTTGGACTTATCTCTTAGTTATGCTCTTTTTTTGGTATGGCAGAATTTGAGAGGGTCTTTTAAAATCTTTGCTTATAAGCCACAAGCACAGTGATAGACATAAAAATAGAAAATAAAATGTGTAATCATAGATGATGTAGAAGGTTCTTCTTAAACGAAAACAGGTTTCTATAGGAATAATACATTTTAATACCTTTTATTCTCCAACTTTTCTAGTTCCTCTCGCTGTTGTCTTTCAAATTCCAGCCTAATAACAAGAGACGTACAGGTTACTATAAACTAGCTGGTGCAGAAACCATATAGCAACAAGGCACGCATAATGAACATCACGTTAATGGAAAAAGACTAATAAAGCACACAAACTGGAGGGTTAAATATTCACATTTTACATTGCTATGAGCTTTACAAGTTATTACAATTATAGCCATCTTCTAAAACCAAGTAGTTAAAAAGGCAAATGAAGGGATATGACAACAGAAGGCAACACTATACAACACAAAAGTCTAAAATACAAGTCAACCAAGATTAATGCAACCTTCAAGTTAGGTTAGCTGCATGCACTCAAAGTAATCAATACAGAAACACTAGGTTTGTCTACCTTAGACATATTGGTCCCTTTACAGTGAAGAGACTGCCAGAGGAGGTTCAGAGAAAGCAAAGACATCCATTAAGACAAGTCATGGGTCAAACATTAATCAAAAAGCATGCAGCAAAATGTGCAAGCAGACACCTTTAACCACACAATATTAATGGTGAATAGAAATCACTTCTAAAAATGTTAGAAAAACAGAAGGTTAAAATAACAGGAGAAAGAAACTGGAGCTAAGTCTGATATTCCCTGTTTGAAACTACTGCATATTTTATAATGTGCTAATTATCACATTTTAATGAAACCAGATTTTTTTCATACCATTGATGAAATAGGAACAAATAACACAACACAAAAAGCTATAGTTTGGACAATGTATTTTAATTAAAACTAATGTGAAAATTGATATACTGTAATCATAATAGCAATTCAGACAAAAATTGTCTAAAATAATTAACTGAATTCCAGAAAACAAGAGGGTCACATTTATTCTGTGTATTATTTAAAACAGAATACAACAGAAATAAGATTTTCTTCTTTGAAAGTCCAATGAAAGCCACCAGAAACGGATCTCCAAACATTTTGCCATTTCTCTGGGGTATAAAAGGAGGCAGTGCGAAGGTAAGACACTAGGTAAGAGCATGCACTATTAGCCAAAGGCAACAGCTGGAGACCTCTGACACAAACTGGCATCTTGAGGACATAAAGTGTCAAAAACTACCATTTACCATCACCTGCATGAGTATTCTGACTGGATTGCAAGGAAGAAGCCTCTTCTGTAGGTGAGCTACATCTGCATGGTCATTGGAACCACATCTTATGGTCAGAGTCTATTAGTGTCTATTAGTTTTTGCAGTTGTTTTGCATCTATGGGTCCTGAAACCCTTATTACAATGGGGGTGGGGGGGGATCATCAACTTCAAATGTTGAAGGACAATACAACTAAATCCCTGGTTCTTTTCACCTAAGGTGCGGCTGTTTACCTGAAATTGGACATCCCAGCATTACAATGAAACAAAGCATACAATGACTTCATTATATCCAGTAAAAAAATCTAGAGGGTACTATATCTACAACAATCAAACTAGTAATGTTAAAAAGAAAACAGATTTTAATTCCTAGGGTTTGCTGAGCTATGATCTAGTACTATTAAGATTAAATAGAGACTTTACAGTACATGTTGTTTGAACTTTAGTTAGGAAGCTTTTACATCAACCCATTTGATTTTAAACTAACAGTTCCATGAAAGGCAATCTCCACATTTTCAAGCCAATCACTGCAGTCAGGTGGCATAATTGATTTTCTTTTTTCTACATTTAATGTTTTTTATTTCTTGAGAAGTAATTTCTATCCAATAGTAATTTAGAGAAGAAAATCCAATCGAAGTGCAACAGTCTCAGTCTTATTACTGGAACATGGACAGCATCTCAAAACAAGCCAATTCCTTAAAACAACCAGCAGTCTTAAGCGACACGTCTGTGAAAGCCCAATAACACTAGGTGTGCCTAGAATCAAAATACTGAGTTATATCTAAAATACAACACTACACAATTAAACACTAGCAAGGTTATACAGGCTTATACAGGCTTCTTTGCTGTGAATGTAAAAGTTTTTTTGTCTTTGTTTGTTTCAGACATTTTTAAGATGTTAACACTACAATACATGTTTCTTACTATCTTAATTTAAACTGCATTTGTCAAAATCCTTTGTGTTACATTTTGTGAAAATTATTATTCAGTTTCCCTTCTGTTTAAAGTATCTAAAAAATAAATATCTTCATTTTTGCTGAATTTTAAAGTGGACATTTTTGCATACTGTAATTTTGCATATAAACTATTCCACAATACAGAACATTACAATAAAGTCACTTCATTAAAGTGACACAAGTTTTCATCTTAACTACATCTGTAGTTTTTGTTTGATTAACCTACTATTCAATATTAACCAAACAAGCCTAATGAGTCAAACAGCTTCCTGTTGTTTATAATTAATCTTATTATCTGAAAGTGCATTATATAGTTACTTTACGGTTTAATAAAATACATTCTATTGATAAGTTGTCAAATTCTTGATGATCAAGACATTGGTTCATTTCACAAAAATATTCACATTTCATATTTAAAGACATCAAAAGTTCTCAGCCCCTTAAAACTGCTGAAACAGGCCAATCATGTACAAACCAATTGTAAAAAATAAAAAGACTCTTTCACTTGCATTGATAAATAAACTGCCTCATTGAAATTCTTAAATCAATACAGCCTGACTTGCAACATTTTTCCCCCGTTAGCTCAATAAGACTGACTCGCTATTATAATAACACTTAAGCAAATTTATCACACAAAGTGACCACAGCTCAGCATGTCTATGATCTTATGCTTCTTAGATGTGAATCAAAGCAGAAGGCTTTTAAGAACTAGAGAGTAAGCTGGAGAAGACATGTCTATCATGCCTGCAGGCTCCTACACCACCTGGTGCTAGGAATACTTAGCTGAAAAGCAGCACTGGCTTTCATCTCTTATAGCTCTGAAAGTGTAAATTATGTTGAAAATTTTCTTAATTGTCATGTTTAAATTGCTAGGACAAGAAAAAAAATCAATAAGTGGTATGCCTATGAAACTGTAGCGACAAGTCTTGTTGGCCTTTTTTAAAACCTTTTAAATTTAGAAAGAATGCAAAATGAATGTCAAGTCATACCTTCTCAACATAAATGAGATCATCGCCACTTTCACACAATCAAGTAAAGAATCTGAGGGACTTCACAAGAATAATAAAACATAGCAAATAAGCATTGTTGAAGAACTGGCATTTTACAGCAGACTTCATAAACTATAATTTGCATTACTAGCCAAAGTTGTGGTTTGATATGAAGAAATGAGAGTTGTTTTTGTTTCCTAAAATAGAAACCAGCTGGAAGTGCAGATTTAAATCTGACATTTTCTGGTTCAGCACAGGCAAAGACTAATTTCTTGGTCGCTATACAGTTACAACCTCATCCCTGTATTAATGAAAGAATCGACACATTCAGAATGGCATTAAAAATGGCCTACATGAGCTATGAAAACAAAAGAAAATATTTGCAAATAATAAAATAAAAACAAATACCGTTATTCTTTGCAAAACTTTTCTTTTTAAACCAAAAGATAATTAAACAAATGAAAGTTTTCAAAGCTCTGCTCATCTGTCCCAAAAGTTTCCTTGTGTTCTTCAAAGACATGGTATATGGTAGTTTAAATAAAAAAGAAAAATCCATTCTTTCCTTTATGAAGCTTCTCATCCTTAAATCAGAAATGTCAAAGGCCATGCAGTGTCACACAGCAGAATAAATACATTTATCACAGAAAACTTCAATAGATAATGAATCCATCCTCTTTCAAATATTTCCACAAAGGTATCTAGCACTGTAAGTTACTTTGAGAGTAAATAGATACTACAGTACAGTATTTATTATCAAATGTAAAGGCACAGTTAGCAATAAAAAACAATCATAAAGTATACAGGTGGCTTGATAGCATATTTACTTCCTCCAGTCCTGCCTTTTTTACAAAGCATTTTGTTCAGTTGTGAGGTTTCCAGGCATCAGTGCTGCTAGCAGTCCCTTTTCCTTTTTATCTTGTTACATTTGAACATGTCCCAAAGTCATGTTCTTTGACCCACTGCACTGGCTATTGACTTTCAACAAAGGTAGAATGAAATGCATTTATATAACTGATAGAAGCCCCTAATGAGGGCACAACTCAAGAAAGCAAGATATATGAAACATTAAAGGAAAAAAATGATGCCTTGCTGTAGACAAGCCCAGCAAGTGAGCTGATGATCACTTTTGAAGATTCAGCAGGTAAGAAACACATTAATCACCATGTTAAGGAATGGGAGCTCTCTTACAGCTTGTATGTAAAAGATGGAATAGTTACACATATAATATAAATAGCTGGCTGGAATCCTATATAAATGCAAGCTATATACCCATCTTTCTAACAGAAAGAAGTCAACTTGAACATGAGGTGAAGAGTAAAGCTCCTGTTCCACCAAAACAACTGATAAAGAAAAATGAAAGCTGAGCAGTTTTGCTGAGAGCTTTGCCACAGGCTATTTCTCATCCTCTGCTCATGTCATAAGCCTGAATTTTGCAATTTAGGTCTCGAGACCAGAGAAAAGAAAAACTAAAACAAAAAAAAAACAGGACTTTTATGGTTGCCCTAACGCAGAAGTCACATGGACGTATGTCGCTGTCAAATAACGTAAGTGACAGTTCATGTCTACCAGTTCGCAAAGCATTGTGAAGCAGGGCTGAACATAGACTCCATATCTGATAAAACAGAAAAGAGGATTATCAAGCTGCAATACACAATACTCTGAACACACAGCTAACCTCAGCAAGATCCATCAAGTTGTGACTAAAAGAAAGTCTGTAGCATTGGATTTTGGCCTCAGTCAATCACCTAACTCATGGAAAAAGAAAAGTGGCAAAGAAAACTTGCGAAATGCAGTGAAGCACAAGCTGCAAGTTATTTGAGGCCCACCAGATAAATTGCTTTATATCAGCAGACTACCTCTGTGCCTGCTATTTCATTCAATATTACAACCAGCTTTAGGGACATAAATCCTCTGCAGTTTCTATTGCATTTATTACTTTTGTCTTTTTGGGAACTTGTAATTGCTTCAGGTTTGCAGAAATTGACATTTAGGAGAGAAATGTGTGTTTGTTGGGACATTTTCTGAAATGCTACTTGAAAGCTATCCTCCTTATGTCAACCACTTGAAGAGCTGCTACAGGTGTCCGGTTAAATAAGTTATTTCTGAAAGGCTGCAAGGATAAAACAAAATAAAGAAGGTGTACCTACTGTATATAGAATTATAAACAAAACCTGTAAAGATTTGTTTAATGTTTCTAAGAAATGTAAAAGGAAAATTTGATCAACAAGGTAACCTGAAAGAAATATATTTAGTCATGCCTTTGAATAGAATGCAATGTTCTTCCAAGTCAAATAAATAATAACTCAGATTGGACTTGGAACTGTAATAAAAGTTTGGTTATAGAGGATGCCAGTTTTCCTTATTTGTTAGATAAAGACTCAGGGGGATTAGGAAGCTCCATGTGTCCAATTACCACATCCTCAAAATATTTAAATTCACTTTGTTTCTTTTTGTTTTTCTCTATAATATTAATGAATGTCTTTTCCCTGACCTGATTTAGTTGCATATAAAATGAGAAAACTCAAAATAATTTAATTGAAAACCACCACATTATGCATGTACAGCACAGAAAGACTTGTGCAGTTTGTAGCGCATTCTGTAGAAGGAATCACGGCGACTGTCCTGTTGCTTATGCGCAGTGTTTTGCTATGTAACCTGTCTCTTCTCTCTGAAAGCACGTCATTCTTTTCTAGCTAGTGTGGAGGGGCTTGAAATTCAATTTGAGTTTTTACTGACCTGTGCAAATCTTTCGGCTTGAAGAAGCACTTTGTAACTCCAAAATCTAAAACAAATTTTGACACGACGAGAAGGAAAAAAAAAAGGTTCATCTTGTTTTGAAACTTTAGTCAATTGGCATCTCATACTGATTAGGTCTTCTGAGATATGCAACACATTTTCAGCAACTATGTGGGTGTAAAATTAGAAGTCCCAGGAGAGAAGTTTTTAAATACAATAGGTAATTCTGAAACCCAAGGGAGTGGAATCAAGATTTGGCAAAAAGACAAAAATAAGATTCAAGACAAGAATTTATCAGTTCCCAGAGGAATTTGTCCATCCTGGACTAGATAGTTCTTTGAAAATCTGTTCCACAACACGCTTTATTAAACAACTTAATTTCCTACTCGTGTTGACACATTGATAAAAAAAATATGTATAAAAACCTTTAATGTATAAAACCAAAAGCAATCAAAAATCCTTTCAACTATTAAAAGAAAAATCTAAACTCCCTTTGTCTTGGTACTGTACATTACAAAGAAAACCAAGAGAACTGCAAATAGAATAAAGATGGCATGAAAGATTACAGCAGTTTCAAAAAAAACATACAAAATCTTAAGCTGCTATCTTTTTTTTCCCCATTTTTGGCAGCAGAACATGCAAGCTTTGTTTGAATCTCGAGACATCAGTTGCATGAATATGCATGCCAACTGTGCTTAGTTTTGCAAACTGTAGCTTGTCAAGAATAACTTTTCCGTTGAGGAATGAGGACAATATGTTTTCACAGTCACAGGCAAACTGCTGAATACACTACTCCGTTACCTTTTACAAATCACCTTGTGATTTTTATAACACACTCAGCACTTCCTATTAGTGTATGTTATGTGTGACTGCGGATTTAAAAAAAAAAACAAGTGTGAATTCACAGTTATCCACACGCCCAAGTAACTAAGTAGAGAAACGTATCCACAGTCATTCCAGTGTTTTACCACTGAGCAGCAATCATTATAAAAGAAATATCAACTGACCAGCAACTCTATGAAAAAGCTCACTTTGACGGTTCTGTTGTTCCCTTTGTACACAAAACAGCAGGGGAATGGACAAGCTTGTTTTTGGATAGATCCACACTGTGAAATGAATTTCAAATTCCAGTCTATTATTTCCCAGTAGTGTGAACAGAAGGAATGTGAAATATTTTAAAGCACAAAAAGTCTGTCGACTGTTCTCCCAACACAGACACTAAAAGTAACACCGTTTGGCAGTATTCTGTTTTGGCATCACAGAGGGCACAAATATTTTTTTTTCAGATTCTTTGTAAATAATGATGGTTATATGTTTTCGTATTTTTAAACCATATTTAGTTGCTGCTTTGAGTCCTGCTATGACAAACTGATATTTCCACAATATACTTTAAATATGCAGTACTTCAATATTATACCTGAAATATCAAGGTAAGAGAGAAGGTAAGAGAGATTGGTACAGTATATACAGTACAGTAGGTATCTTCAAAGATGACCTAGTATGTGTAAAATCAGAAAGAAATCTCAAGATTTAAATGTATTTTTAATTGAAATAAGATCTGAGATATGTTCGAAAATTCAATAGGTGGCGTTTCTGGTCTGGCCTCTATATATACAGAACACTACTTGAAGATACCTCATCTAGTATAACAATCTGTGATTTAAAATCTCAAGACCTTTTCAATTTGTTTCAATAAATAATTACAATAACAACTGATTTAGTTTTTTAAAAATCTAAATTATCATGAGTTATTTTATATCGTACTGTAAAAAGACATAACTGTGATAGAAAAAAAAAAAACATCCATCAAGGTTACCAAAGCCTTTAATGAGAAAATAGACTGAAAAGGGACAGGTTTTCCATCACATAATTTCATATTAATATTACTTACCCTGGATTGTACAGCATGACAGCTGACAGATTTTCACAGGACTTTGAAAGGTCTGTCATAGACAAACTGAAGGAGGAAAGTAGTCCACTCTGAGCACAAATTAAACAAAGAACACAGTAAAAAAGCAGACACACATTTAGGTTTTTATACACAAGAGAGGATTCCTTAGTCTACACATTAATATTAATGAAAAAAATATTAATAATATAGTGTGTAAAAAACTTAGTACTGTATGTACTATATAGGACAATAAATATTTATGTTTTAAAGATAAAGACTCAAAGAGCATTAGCAACTTCACAAAGGGAATTATAATTCTCATTTTACTACACTGTAAATCAAATACAAATTTCATGAGAGAGAAAAATATACATGCATTTTAAAGTGCCAGATAAGATGCTTATAAAGTCTTATGCTCAGAATGTGGAGAGTAATGTTTTGCAGTAAAAGTACTTATTGCATTTAATAAAACATATGGAACTTTTTCCTCAAGTATATCTGGCAAAAACATCCAATAAGCTTCAGAAAGAGAATTTCTTTTTTTTAAATAATTAAGTCACTGAAAACTAAAAACTAAGTTTGACTGCAGTATAAAATGTTTGCTTGTGTATGTTAAAATTATGTTATGGGCTACAACAACAGAATTATATTCACTTTATCATTGTTGAAGATTTGACTGATGGTTCAATATCCTTGAAATCATGAACCTTTTATCATACATTTCTAAATAAAGAAACCACACTCTGCAGAAGCTAGCATCTTGAGTGACATATTTACAATGAAAAATAATATATGTATGTGCAAGCGATTTAACAAATTGCTTTTGTCTGAATAAAGACAACTGCCCTAACTTATCAGCACTAAGTGGCTGCTATTTTGTGCTGGATAATTCCTCATTTTCAAAAACCACCATTGCACAATTTCCCTACCTGAGAAAAGGAGCATTTAATCTTTAAAAACTCTTAAAATACAACTGGAGGAAAAGCTACCCCCTATGTTGAGTATGTATTAACTTGTGCAAAATGGATGTTTTAAAATCTTTGCTCTTTTTTGACTGTATTGTAATTCTTTGGTAGAGTCTAAGTCATGTTAAACCCATTTGTTGCTGGGCTTCCCCAGATAATGGCAATCAATTGACAGAGCTGCTCCTGGGGACAGGGTATCACCTGGTACTCAGTGAAACTACAGTAAGACATCCAAGGTGCCTTCAGGCCCGTTGTGATAACAGCAAGAGATCTGTTGCTGCTCCAATCAACACCAACTCTCCTGTAAGGCTCTGTGGAGCTTGAAGTGTGTCAACATACAAGCAACATCAATGGGAGGGCTCACTGGAAGAGCCTGTCTTTCCTTCCTTTACAGTTTGTCCCTGTGCAATGTGGGAGTTGCTATTGTGAGAAGAGATGTTAAAAAATGTGTGATTCCAAATTGGGCGCATTTAAAAAGGAAACAAAAATACATTTGACCATTTAACCTGGTCTCAAGCCTCACTATCAGGTATCACTTGCTGTTTGGACAATGTTTTTGAAAAACATTGGTATAGTTGTTACACCTAAAACACCAATTACAAAGTTTTAAAACGCAGTCTTTCTGAAGTGCTGAATTAATATATAGCACTTCTTTTAAAAATAAAATCCAACCAAAAACTCTACAAATCAAACAGCTGAGCTAAAGCTGCAAATGCACAGCATATGCATCACTATACCACTGGCATTGGTGAAAATATGGTCTGTTAAAAGAGGGAATAAACACACTACTTTCCAAAATTATCATTAGCCAAGACAATTAAGATCCTGGACAGCCTCTGAATTCAGTGCACCTTTCATCCAAAAAAAACCCCAAAATTAACAGCAAATATTTAAATGCCAGCAAAGCAAACAGCATCTGGTGGAATATTTATGAAATACACAATAACAGGCAAGTAAAGCTCTAAGGCACTGCAATCCTTCTGTGTTTTGATGGGGAAAATGTGTAGCAAAGTAATTATATTTCTTTGTCTTTTGAATAGAACAAAAACCTTTGCTTTAAGACAACACTCGGTGTAGTGAATACTGATGCAAATTGAAAGTCTTCCCCTTGGAGAAAATCCACCGCAGGTTATGCTTTTCTTTGAACCCGACTTATTAAATTTACTTAATGCTAGAAGTGCCAAAGCCAACAATTAGACGTTTCCGATTGTTAAACTGTAATATATTCCACATGCACAAAGCAGTCACTGTTGTCCACTCATGCCATGTCTTCAATCCATGTTAAATGCCCTGATGCCTGAATTATATACAGTATATATATATTTTTACCTGGGACCATGAGATTCTCTTCACTTGGACTATTTACAATACAGTTCATGCTTTGGATCATAAGTAGCCTGTAGTTTCAGTATTGATGCCTGTTATTTCCAACCCCATTGGATCTTCCAGGAATTTGACTACAATACAACTGCAAGTCCATGATTGACATCTTAAAGAACTGTTTGTCATCTAATGTGAAAGATTTTTAACTCAACCTGATATTATTTCTGTCAATTCTTATAAGAGGTGATGCCGGCTTATGACTATTAAATGACAGACTGAAATACACCTCAGAGACGAAGAATATCTGCACAGTGGTGACTGCAATTCTCTTGAACTGGCAAAGGTGCCGCACAAAGACAAACAACCACGTGGGAACAGTAAACAAACTAAGAAGAGAGTTTCCACCTTTTGTGCAAAACTTTGCAACTAGTGCTATACAGCAGTACAATTTTGAACTATTGGGAAAGTGACAGGCTGACAAGTGTAAAAGAAAACAATGCCAGGCAGTTATACACAATAAAAACTCCTGTTAAATGTGCCCTGTGAGAAATGCACAGAGAAAGTTAAAAAGCATCTGACCAGCATGGACTGTGGCTCTCAGATTACTTTGATGTTCGTTTACACAAAAGCACAATTTTCTGTTTGATTATAGAAAATATACATACTACTTTGTATTAAAAGTTTTGTGTATACATACAGCTGTTTACTTTTAATCAGTTTTTACAATATTTAAAACATTTTAAGTGTTACTGTTAGAACAATTTATTTAAATAAGGTGTTACAGCTGTAATGATATATAACGTTCCAAACAAACTTCTGAGTTGTGCCTGATAATTTTTCTTTCATATTGATGCTGTAAAATACATCAGTCAGAATCATGGCAGTACTAAGGTTCTGGGTACATGTCAAACCACATCGGTTCAAGCTTTAACCAATGGAAAGTAAACTATTAGTAATTTGAAAACATCTTTAATGACTGACACAGGTTACACAGAACAAATTAAGATTTCTGTTTTCAGAAGGGAAAAATAAACCTTGGCTGACCAAACCATAGAAATTATTTTTGTGTATATGTTATTTTAACCAAAGAACAAGGGTAAAAAAATTACCTTTCTCTTCTCCCTGAGTTTAGCTGCTTCTTTGGGATGATTAAATCTAAACATGTTAGTTCTTCCAAGCAGTATGACAGCACCTAGCAGGATACAAAAGCACAATTGTTGAAAAACACTCTCTCTGTAAATTGCATTTTTGGTACAATGTCCTTTAGAACCTAAATTAATAGTTCAGTCTGGGCTTTTGATTAGATCTTTTCAGTTTTCTGTTCACAAGAAGAAGGGTCTTACATTAGTATTCCTTCCAAACTGTAAAAAAAACACTATAACGAATAAGTGATGATATCACTAAAAATCACATGAAGGAATTTGGATTTTAAACCTCTATTTAATGTTATATGATATAAAAATATATAAATATTGAAGTTTCACTAAACAAATACATTGGGAGAAAGACACAGCTTAAGAGCACTGCAAAACCCATGCAGACATATAATAACAGGGTGTCATTTTAACTGGCTTCTTCTGCAGGTCTTACATTAAAATTCTTGTGGTGACAAAATAAACTAGTATTACAGTCTAAGGCAGGTAAAGAAATTCAAATGGAATAAAACCAATAGTAATAAATTGATGTCATTATACAAACATTAGCTCTGTTACCCACACATGTCTGCAAAAACCCTCTGCTAACAATTACCATATGTAATGAAATAAAATTTTACTGTGTCTATATTAAATGTAAAACATTTTATTTTTATTTTGCTAAAGCCTGATATGCTTTAGCAAATAAGTTAAGGTTACATACTATTTAAGGCTTGTAGCAATAATTGTTCAGGCTTAAATCTATGGCCTTCAGCTTCTGACTGTTGAGTTGATGCTAAATACACTCACAGTATGTTTGAGCACACTTTGATCCAACTTGAATGAGATCAAATCAACTATGTTCTGGAGTATATCTGGCTACTCTACTTAGGACCAATTCTAGAGCACCAAATTCTTTTTTTGTAATTAACAGCCTACACACTTTTTTACCAATTCATTATAAAGCTTTAACATCACTTGATGTAAATATTATATTTTTACTGTAGCTATACAACCTCAATTTTTATTCCTTTCCTACACTAACAGAGGATAATCATGCATCACTATAAATGTTTAAATCTTTTTCATAGGGAGGTTTGTCAAGTTTGTCAAAATTGTGAAATGATTTAATCATTTATGGAAATTAGAACAGTGCCCTTAACACAGATATTTGTGGTATTCCACTAATTACTGGTACATTACTCCAGTAAATCTCAAAATCAACCTGATATAAATACAGGTAATTTTGAAGTTTTATATACAGTATGATATAAATGAATTGAATGGCCTCTCAGAAGCTCCTATCTCCTAAGAAAGTGGTCAAGTTAAGAATCTTACAAGAATATAGGTGAACTAATATACTGTACCAGCATCTGAAAACAAAAAACATATGACTTTGTCTGCAATTCCCAAGTGATGCATTCTTTCAATAAAAGGTATCTGTTTCACATACTACGGGGCTAAATATGACTACATATGGTTGTGAACACATCTGGCATGTGCACAAGGAGAAATCAAAAGCTACATAAAGAAAGACCATGGCAAAACAATAAAATGTGACTAAAGAACTCAAATAAGAGTTGAAAAGTCTTTGCAATTAAAACATCATACTGGCTGTGTTGTCAGTCATTTCTAAGTGTCACATTTATCTTAAGTCCTTCATTACACTTCCTGCACACTAAAATTAACTGTGCAAATTCAGCTCTTTAACATCCCAGAGGTAAACATACTGTATATCTAATACATAAAAGACATGTCATACAAATGAAAGTTCAGAAATAACTCTTACGCTTTTACTTTTGTGGCGGATTTTTGATCCTTGCCTTGCTAATTTTAATTTGAAAATGTTGGCTCGTTATACTGAAATTAAATAGGCTGAAACATTTTCAGCATAATGTTTGGGGGCTAGAAGTGTAGGAGGACATTACGAAAGAAATACTGAATGTTTTGGGTGAATGAGCTGAAGCTGTAATATTAAACTGCAGGAAAACATATGGTAAACGGCAGGCATTCCATTCTAGAAAAAAACTGACGCTGTGAACTAGATGAAAACATTAATGACACAAATTAAAGAGTAAGAAAACATACAACTGAACACTCAAATGTCCAGTAAGTTCTATTAAACACATTTATTTACTGTAAGTGTAATAAATGTATATAAAGGAACAAGTAATAGGTTTATTCAATGCTGAAAAAAGAAGAAAGAAAACACAACGTTAAGGCCGTGGAGCCTTCTTCAGGTGTGAGGCTCACGAAACGTTGTGTTTTCGGTCTTCTTTTTTTCAGCATGGAATAAACCTATTACTTGTTCATTTGCAGCCTGCGCATGCTGACGCAGCTACCCACCTGTATATATGTTATGATTTGCAAGTGCAGGACTGAAGTGTGCATTGTTTCAATTAAAGGTGAGAATTCTGTGCTGTGCATCCTATGTCCCTACTGCTCAATGGTCTAGGACTACAATAACCTTTACATGAGGCTCACATTCAGTTCCTTTCAGCCTTTCCAAAAGCTTAAGTGTGTAAGTAGATGGTGCACCATTGAAAAAAACAGTCGGATACACCTGGATCTGAAATATCTTTACGAATAGGACTAACCACATCACAACAGAGTGCTACAGAGTGCTACAGTACTCAATGAACAGTTCAGATTTGACCTGGCTGAGAATGTAAACTTTTGAGTTTTCTTTTGGGTAATTAACTTTCAGATAATTTTAAAAGACAAATTTGACAATTAGACAAAACCTTTTTGGGTAAATTCAGAAGGTTTGCAGCTGACACGAAGCATTGCTGCGTCAAAGGGGCGTCAAAGGGGCAGTTCTTGTGCCATGTCAAAATATACAGCATTGTGATAGGTCACCCATGAAACATTTCTACAGTATATGCACACTTTAGTGTGCTACAGTACAGTATATAACAGTGTTAATATCTCTTGTTTCACAGGGAAAGAAAAGTGATAGTTCACTGTAAACCATTTGTTTGCTCAGAATACTCTATGGAGGGACAATAATACATTTGAATATGCACAAGTATGTAAACACACTCACACAACATATGTTGTATTTTTCAGCACTAAACAGCATTTTTGTTAGCTCAGTACAAAGCCACCTGCTATTAATGACTTCTGACGACTGACAAAGCACATGAAAAGACAGCTTGTGATGGATTTTTGCTGCTGCAGAACTGAAAATTACTATCATTTGTACAAAGAAAATGGCTTTAGATGCAGCAATTTCTAAAGGGGATATTGGATAAATTGAAATTGTTATAAAGAAAGCTACTGTGGCATGCTTCCTTGATACATAGCACATTCTTTTTTTTATCTCATTGGAACTTGTGAGAATAGATTCCATTGCTACCAGACACAATGCTCTCTTGGGGCTAAAAGTTTCAGTGCCACTTTTCCTTGTGAAAGGTTAATCCTCTTCCCACTTAAACCTTGCAGTGCTATCAACTCCATCTGCCAATTAAATTGCAAAGCCTGGGGCTTTGTCAGTGCCTTCTGCCCGTACAAATGTTTGGTAATAGAATTCACATTGGTTCTGTAGAGTGTGATACTTTAACAGGCACTCCTGCCTTGAGGTACATGCATATGCTACATTAGGGAGCTAGTAAATTAAAACAGATATTTTTAAAGAAAAGAAAAATATTCCTCCCCGTATGATTAATCTCAAACTACAATTAACACTACAAAGGATCCTGACAAGGCAAATATGTTTTTTATACACAAGAGATTTATTTCCTCAGGTTGAGAAACTGTTAATCCTTGCCAATATGTTCCTGGGAGTGTTTGGTCAGAGAAGACTAATTGCATTTTGAAAAGTGAACCATCCTACAATATTAAATTCCAAAACTGTTACAATTTATATGGATACAGCAGCCAAAAACATTTGAACATTTAAAAAGAGCCACCTTCATGAAGCACTATAATAAGTAGCTACTGACAAGGGGAATTTATGTGCTTTGGAATCAGTTCAAATAAGGGTAACAGGGTTAATTCCTGCACACACAAAAGGGCAGAATCTCTTCAAATCCTAAAAGATACTGATAGAGTCAACCAGTACTACATCAGGGTTGCCATACTTTTAATAATGTGTTACCAAATTAATTCAGATTTTAATGTTATTCACTACATCTCAGCAGTTCACTTTATAAGGTGCTTTCTCTAATAACTATTACTATGGTATCAGCAATGACACGTTTCTACTCGGCAACAGGGATGATGAATGAAAGTTAAAAAACAATAGCTGTCTAACTTCTTGGATTATTTTGAAAACAAAAATATGTGTCTTCCTCTTCCACCTACCCTGGTTGAGCTGGATAGGTTCCATTATTTGTACTCCATTCACTGAACACTGAGCTCCATTCAGAGGTATTAGAGTTACAGTGCCATTAAGGTTTTCAAAAACACAATGTTCACTTTCCAAATCAAGACCATGAAGAACTAGAAGGAACAAAAAATTTGGTTAAGTATCAAGGAAAGCCTGGAAAATTAACATTTTATTTTTATTTAAGATCTGAAAAAATGCTAAGGTATATGCTGAAAATGTATTATAACACTCTAAACAAAAGCTAACAAAGTGTTATATGAAGAAAACACAGTTAAGATTTCTATAATTTAGTCAGTTTAATCTTAACCCACCAATGTCCTGCTCTGTTGCAGCATCATCACGACCAACATATGTTCTTCCTTCCTAAAATAACAGAAAGTTTAGGGAGAATTTTAAATAGTTTTCATATTTGTAAAGGACATTTCAATATTATCCCCCAAACACACTGAAACATCACCTATCAAGCAGTTCATTTCATCACTATAATGTCTGTATTAAACAGAAACAAGAATGAACGCCTCCAACACACCAACAGTACCTGTCAGAGCCAACTGTGTTTCTCTGTACTGCGAATCTCGGACACAGTTAACAAATGCTGAGAATGCACTGTTTTAGAAGATCTCTGCACTTCAGTTAATCTCTCTTCATAAAAAATCAAAAGGTAAGGCACACTAATGACTGTAAAACATACTTACTTTCAGATGGTAGAGTATAATACCGGTGCTCAGCAGGTCATCATCAATGCCAATAAGGTGAGGTAATTCAGAATCTAAAACCACACCAATTCCTTCCTTTCTCAGTGCAAGAGTTTCTTCCTAAAAAGATGAACGTACTCAATTTCTACACATGCTCATTACTTTAAGGTTCAAATCCTGAGACTAAAACATATAATTCTAAATCAGACAACATTTACAAGGATGTGAAGCAATGATGCCATTCATTGTTGCTTTAGCAGTCATGTTTTACTAATATGCTTCCTTGCCATGAGAACTATTGTAAATGATGAAGTAAGCTAAGAGGTGTAGTAATACTGTGGTAAAACACTATCACATAGTGCATCTAGTTTTGACAATTAGCCTTAATAATGCATGAAGCTATCTGTTGCTGTTCCTGAAGTTCGGTTTGACCATAGTCCTCAAATGTTGCTTTGAGGGGATATTATTTTGAACCTGAAACTGTAAATCTGTATCCATTCAGATACAGAAATCACAGCAAAGCAGGCTTCCAATGAAGCAATCCTCTTTTTTGTAGCCCATTTTCATGTATGAGTGACAGAGTAATCCAGCACAACTTTATGCTGTATAACTGCAGCATTCATTCATTAAAGTATTTGAAACCATAAACAGTTATCGATAAGAGGGCATAATGGTGGTCAACCATTCAGCATAGTGACAATGGATTAGTCTACTTTGTCATGAAGACTGCTGTATACTGTAAACGTATTCTATTGACTGCCCTCGTGGTTAAACAATTTAAAAAAAGGCAGTATGCAAACACAAAATGTGTGAAAGGAGTAGTCCTCTCCTATCTTCAAAGAAAATAAAAAATGCACTGGTTGGACAGAACTGACAGCAACTTCTGGCTGACAGTATCACTTTAAATCATGCATCATAAAGAGCTGATACTATAATACAATTTTATATAAGCCTGTTAAGGTCTGGTTTGCAGGACTTTATCTAGTCCCCATTCTGACAGGCCTAAGAAGAATTAATAAGATCGATCTTTTTGAATTTATGTTAAACAGAACATTCTATTTCCTCCAAGACACTGACAAAATAAACCCAATGGATGAAGTGCAGAATATGTGGTATTTGAGTATGGTGCAGAGTATGTGGTATGCAGAATATAGTGTATCTACAACTGTAAACAGCTATGAAACAACACTTTTAAAAACAAAGTGCCATAGAAGTATTAAGCAAGGCGTTCAGCGCCATCGTTGATACCCCGGCTTATTTTAAGAATCAGCAAGACAAGGTCCTGCAGTTAATTAGCTGCTATGAACCAAGCAAGCTGCATGGGCCAAACAGCCTCCACACATTTATAACCTTTCTTATGTTCTTATGACAGTTGATTTTTTAATTGCCGCACAAGTCGAGAGCCGTATGCTGATCTAAACATGCCAAGATTCTTTAAATTTAAAGCATAATAAGAAAAACAGGTTTTTGCCTAGTGTCCCAGTAGAATTCATGTTGATAAAACTATCTAGAGTCCTGCAGTAATCAAATGGAAACACTGCATTGCCTTTGATATATATATATATGTTTTAAATTGCTCAGGAGATTATAAACAGATATTGGTTTTATTATTTTGAATATTTCAAAACTGTTTTACCCTTTGTATTCATGATTTTGCATTTTATTTCATACATTCTAGATGCACAGAATTAAAGCAATCTTAAAGCTAAAGTCTTGCAGGATTTCCTTTTCAATCACTGTTATACTTCACTTAATTGCTATTGCAAAATGATGAAGTGTCTTTGTAAGATACAATCAGCTATCAGATTAGTCAACCACTTGCAAATATTCCCCACAGATAAGCTTTATAAACATGGATAATGTGGAACATGAGAATCCGCTTTAAACAGCTGTCTACAAAGCTTTGAATCTGAAAGAGAATTGTTGTTTCTGTAATATATCCCCTCAAGGCGATGGAAGAACTTGAGAGAAAGTAACAAAAAATACAGGCCTGTACTGTTGTCTTGTAGATAGAATGTCAACCACTTTCTATACATCAAGATTTACTACAGATGAAACATCTGAAAACGTGATGCACTCGTTCATTTCTAAAGCAGTTTGCTTGTTTTCACATTTTGGTGCGGAGGAAAAACACTGGAATTATATAAATAAACTAGATGCTTTTGTACAATGGAGATTTTTTTTCTTCTCATGCAAATTATAATAAAACATGACAGCATTTCAGAGAGCCATTACCATACCAGACATTTCTTTCTTTAAGAAATGGGATTTATATACACAAATAACATGTCAAAATGTGAATAATACAAAGGATATGTAGTCTATAATCCATACACATGATTAATGTTGCCCTACAGCAATGACATTCAGATTATAGTCAATTACACCCAGATATTACAAGTCCCACATCATAAAATGAAAAGTCACACTTAAATCACTGTCCAAGGGAAAAGTCATACAGCATGAAAAAAGAACTGCTAAATATGTATTTGATGGCATTTTCAGCTCCCAACAGTTTTATTAACAAATAAAATTTTGCTTAAACCACACAGAACACAAAGTCCTTTTTAAATTTCACAAATATTTGATCAGGCTTTGTTTTTAATCAAACTTTGTTTTCTACTGAGATATTTCAAGAGTAATTCACAGATGAAGAAAAAAATTAAAACCTCAGTTCTAAGCTTCTTGGGATTTAGGCGATGGAGGAACTTCTTTGGTTATTCCATTGTTCACACTACTATAGCTGGAAAATAAGAACTAAGCTACACACACTCCCAAACTTTCCCAATGTTTGTGAATATTGGCTAAACATAGTTGCTTAGAAATATAATGACCCTTTTAAATCCTTGCTGTAGAATATTTAACAAAAATTAACAGGATTCACTTTTAAAATCACAAGTGAGAAGACAAAACCCTGTTACCTGAAAGTGACAAACATCTCTGAAAAATCCAGAACTCAACCCTACAGGAATTGAGAAAATCTAGCTCTGCAATTTTCTGTCAAAACTCTTTCATACAGGGAAAATAAATTAAATTCCAACAGCTTAACTGTGGTCTCTGAAATTTGGGACCTTTCTTTTCTCTTGATTATCTGGTGGATGTGATCCGTTTCCTAAAAATTCACAACTTGCAACTCCAAGAAAAAACATTTTTTACCTCATCCTATTTATGCGATTTCATTTACCATTTTATTCCTGCTATGGTAATGGGGTTGCTTAAAGTTCAGTATAAGAATCTAAAAATGTATTCATCAAGGCTGTCATTTAAAGTCATCTGCCTGTGATTATGGTATTTTGTTTAAATACAGTTTAGCCTTCTTTTTATCCTTTTTACACATTTAAAACAGAAATGAATAAAGAAGCTTGGTGTTCCATATTAAGAATGTAATAACTTCCTGACTTGAAATATAGCTAATTAAAAACATCATTCACAAGTTGGTAAACATAACAGTGGATGAGTGGGCCTGAACACTTGGATCACATGATGACCCTTTGCCAAGGAAGTCCAGTACCTTTCTGCCAGCATGGTTCTCATAAATATTTAAACAAAACTTCAGGAGATCCTACAAAACTATAACATTTAAGGCAAATAAAACAAGCAGCTATGTACTGTAGTGTATAAGCAACATGCATGATCAAACAAAATTCATGAAATACAAAGGAGCTGATAATGAAGGTTTCTGAGAAGGGCATGCCCTAATCATTAGCTCTAAGTTAAAAATGCCGTTAGATCACCTTTTCCCAGGGATCATCAAAGTAGCACACCTCCACCAACCCTTCACTACTCTGCTAGGGCAGAAACCCTTTTCTTTATGGGGGAGGAGGTAAGGTTGAATCCGATTTCACTTCCCCCAAGGCTGTTTCATCCCTCAAAACAAGCAGGATGAAGCCAAGATATCAATAAAAACTCTCTGCAAGTGAGTTCTTGGCCTTTTTATTTTCTGCACTAATAGAAAAATACATTTGGCGATATGCTTCATAGAGGTGTGGGCTGCTGGAGGTTTAAAGTCACTGTAGAAATGTTTATAAATGAAGGAATTAAAACATAAATGTGACAAAAAATAAAGCACTTTTGTGCAATTTAATAACTATCATTCACAAGTCAGCAGTCCTCCCTTAGCTTGTTTAAAATATATTACAGTAATAACACAGCCTATGGGCTCATAAACAACACCAACCCCTCTTCAAATAATGTGTCAGTTTTCCAAGTGGAAATTTCAATACTATTGACTCAATAATGACACCAATTCACAGAACTAGTGACTGCAAAGTGATTAAACAATGTTAGCAAACTGCAATACGACTGCCAAATGAGATGAATACCAATCAGAAAAGGCAAAGGGAATGATCACTGTATAAACTAAATCAAATAACAGATTCCAGAGTTTTAAAAGGTATATGTCCCAGTGTGAATAAAGGTGTTTTTCTTCCCCCTGTTGCCAGGGACAATGAAATTATTTCCAAAACACGTGTAACAGGTTTGTCATAACCATTTTTCTGTGTTAAGCTACAGACGCACATTACATTTATATGGATTATTGTGCGCATTTCATTTAAAGTTAGAGCCGTGAAGTGAAAATACATCACAGCAAGAAGTCAATACCATGCATAAACGAGTTTTTTTTATCTCTTTACCAGCTTGGTTTTTGGTCTGAAGGATGCTTCCATTTTTACCCATCGACAGTAGAAAGCCCACGTCCTTACTTCACTAACAGGGAAAGACATCTACTTCAGCCCAACATTTAATTAAAGGAATTCTTCAAAGACTTCATTAGAGGTGAAGTGTAGTCTCACAGATTAATGTGATGTGTCATTTTTATGAAACATCAAGTATAAATGAGATTTTAACACACCGAGGGTATATAGCACACACTTCGCTCTTAGGCAATTGCATCTTCAGCTTCTGAGAAGTTGAAATCCCCTTTTTTATTTTACAAGTCATGAACACTGAAAGAAGTAGGTGGTGAAAATAATTAACTTTGCTCTTAACTTGGAACAAGGCTCCTATTGCCTTTATAGTCCCATTAAACCATCATCTGCAGTAATGTAATTTTAAAATTAATATCTAGGAGCTTTAACTAAAAGTTCATGTCGAAGTATGTCAATGTGCATTAAACCATT